CTGGAAGTCTCTATTTTGAATTTTTTAAATAAAAATTTACATGGAATTGAAAACTATAGATCTATTTGAAAACATATGTATTAAACTGATGTGATTTAAAATCTTCAACTCCACTTCTCCAGATGCATCCATATTAGATCAGTAAACGCCATGACCCTTGCGATTTGAAGAGGAATCAAGGGTCTAAGAGATGTTTATTTTAAGGGATTCCATGAGCTCTGACATTACTGAAGACACACCCTCAAGGACAACTGATACCCCCTACTGCAACCAGACTAGACCACGTATTCACTGGGAAAGACTGATGGTGGCTTACATTTAAGCCTTGGGTTTATATAACAGTTGATGAGGACTGAACAGAAATGAAAAACAATGACAAGTGAAATGGATAGAGCATGTACAAGCTAAATCCGTACAATAGAATATGCTTCGAGGATAGGCTCACGGTGGTAATAGAAAACAGAGCATTTGAGACTGTGTCTTGGGAAGCTTTACGTAAAGACTAAACGTGCCAAGCACTCTCTGCATCTCTGCACCTCCCTCCTGTCCTCTCAAGTAGCAGCTGCCTGGGCAGCCTGACCGTCTTCGAAATGTCCATTCATACTTGGCCTCCAGCAGGAGAATCCGGCATTTAGGACACAGCTGCCATTGCCGAAAGGATCCCCTCAGCCAATTCTACGCGCTGTGCTTTGAAGTCACACGGCGCAACAAGCCGAGATGCTCCACAGACACAGACACCTGTTAGATGATAAATAACTGAGTGTCTGATGTCCTAGTTAGAGGAGCAGGAATAATGATCATATCAAGCGTGGGGGGGTGTCGGGGGGGTGGCAGAGAGAAACCAAGCTGGCTCAAATGCTGGCAGGAAGGAGCTAAAGTGGCCAGGGAGGCTAGAGGCAGAAACAGGAAGGGCTAAGCGGCTGCTGGTTTTTCTCATCACACATGGCAGTGGTTCCATGTGAGGTCAGTGGCAGGTGGAAAGCAGGACGTCCGTCCTCCTGCCCACTCCCTTGGGCACCAGCGACCAGAAGGGTCTCCTCCCTAGGGTTTTCCAGCAAACAGGGCAGTCAAATCCGTGGAAGGTGGAAAAAGCTACATGAGAAATGAGAAACTTATCATTTTTCAGCAGCTCGAATCTGTCCAGGTGCTCTGTACACACCTCCTGCCATTCAGGTGACACTGCTCACACCTTCCAGAGAAATGGAAACGTTGAGCGGTATGTCCACAGTTACAAAACTACCAACTGGTGGAGCTGGAGAGCGTCGTAACTGTCTCTGAGCCTCAGATCTGTGAAGCTGAGTAGATGACATTTAACAGAAAATCACCTCACTCTGGCACCCTCAGTTATAACCTGGGGCAGCGGTAGCTCCTGGGAAGAGCATGGAACCTGCTGTGATGTGGGGGTGCCCATCAGAGAGGACAGCAGCTGGCCCACAGTTCTTACTGTGCAGAGGTCACCTAGGGACCCCACATGCTGCTCTGGCCCTTCCAGGTGCACACAGCGGAAACAGAGTCTGGACACACACCAAGCTCCAGACACCCTCATGCTTCCACTGCCCAGTAGAGCTGGTGCCATGCTGGTGGGGGAGTGGGGGCGTCGGAGGGGTGTAATTCAGCTCTGCGGGCCACAGGGCAGGCGTCCTCCTCCCCAAGCCCACAAGGACCCAAAAGCTGAAGAGGACATCAGGAGCTTGGAGAGCACAGAGAGCTGCTAATAGAAGAGAAACACTTGAAAAAGAACCCTGAAAGGCAATGGGGAAAGCCTGGGCGGGTTTGGTGAAGGGCCAGTGAGAGCGGAAGGGCACCCGGAGAGGACAGTGAGGAGAGGTGTGGTCTGGCCTGGTGGTGTGGGAGGGGCTCAGCCTCACGGCCCATCTGTGGGGGAACAAGGGATAAAGGCTTCAGAGGGGAGTTCTTCAGCCAGATGTGGGGTCTGTCAGATATTGAAGTGGTGGGCAATGGAAATCACAGACGGCCCTTTCCCACTGCTCCCCAAATCCAGAGTAAGGAGGGAGAACTGGGTTTGGAAGGACACAGCGTCCCTGGCACCCAGGGCTGGGGCTCACCATGGGGGCTGGTACTCACAAGGAGTACCAGCCTGTGCACAGATGTAGACACTCGTGAACAAATATGTGTGAATGTGCACATGTGTGTGCTGAGTGTGAGCGTGGGTGAACTTGGACATGTGTGTGCATGGGCACACAAGTTTTACCAGGGTTGTGTGGGTGTGTGTGGTGAGTGTGCACATGGCCGTGAGTATTGTGCATCTGTGACCTCTGCCCGTGTTATGAGGTGTGTGTGAGCGTGTGCCTAAGTGCACTGTACCAGGGCCAAGAATGGATTGCGGTGTGTATGTATAGCCCAGCGTGAGTCTGTTTTCTCTTCCCCCCAAAACAAAGACATTTGGGGGGCAACTTTCCACCGAGAGCCACACCTCAGCTTTGAGACACCCTGACAGCTCCCCTCTATGGGGAGAGGGGAGCTCTCCTGGCTGCTCCGCCACCAGCGGCTCCAGCGGCAGCTGGAGCCCCTGGCTGGATCACTGACGAGGCCACCTGTTCTCAGCCAGAGAAGGGGGCTTCCCAGGGACTTCACCTGTATCTACAAAAGGGCCCACAACTCTTCCTGCTGAAGTTTCCAGTCACCACAGAAGAAAAAGAGGATGTGGTGTGTGCTCCAAGTTCAATGTATGTCTTGTATCCAGATTCACCTTTGTGGCTCAGAACATTCCAAACAGTAGAACTGCTCTCGTGGCAGTCCCTGAAATTCAGCAGCGTTTCCAAAGATGTGCGTGATAGCACCTGCCAAAATACGTGTCTGGCATCACAAAAAAATCCCAAAGAAATGCCACTGTCCCTTAATTGTACCACGTCTAGTCTACGTATTCAGGGTTGAGTTTAAAAAAGGAAAACAATCTGGTTTACCTCGGGAGTATGCCGTGTAGAGAAACTATAAATGCTTTTCGTGTTGGTCCTGAGCTTTCCTGAGCTTCTTGTCACCACGTACATATTTGGGAAGTTCCAGTCAGACAAGATTAAACATTTCTACAAATTT